TATCCTCTCAGGAGGGGCTGGGGTGTTAGACAGAGAACCGGAGCCGCAATTTCCTGTGGTTGGTTGGGAAAGACCTCTTGTAGAAGACCGGCGATGTGGCCCGGGAGTAAAGAGTTCTGTGTTCGATTCCAAACAGAACTGAGGAGGAATGGAGAAGGTAGCCACATGGATGCTCAGGGGCAGAGCAGGCGTAAGGAGAGGAAGAAGAGGCTGGGGAGGGGGTCGCCAGGGGAGGGAGAGAAGCTGAACGTCTGTCGCCACCAGTGGTGGGGGAAATGGGTGGGAGACGTACTGAAGAAAAGCTTACCCGCGTCTCTTTCTTGCAACGGTAAGGCAGACTGGAGCCAGCAAGTCCTCCATTGCCATGAGGGGATTGCTGCAGTGGACTGTTGTAGCAGAGGAACAGGAATTGTGCCAACTCCCGTTACAAGAGAGGGAGCTGGCGGCGTGTAGTTGAGGAACAGGATAGGGGTCCGTGGACTGAAAATGAGGACTGAGAGGAAACATCAGACGTGTTGCTCAGCTTCCCGTCACTGCGCCAAAATGCCTGAGAGAACCGGCTTATGGAGAGGAAAGGGTTATTCTGGGTCACAGCTCTAGAGGTCTCTGTTCATGCCTCACTTACTGTGTGGGGGTCTGTAGAGGCAACACACCAGGGCAAGAGCACGTGGGAGCAGAAGAAGATGCCCACTTCATGGTGTCGAGGAAGCAAAGAGGAAGAGGAGGAGTTAGGGTACCAACATCCCCTTCGAGGACACCCACCCAGGACTTAACTCTCCAATCAAACCGCACCCCCTAAAAGGGCCACCACTTACCCACCATGCTGGTTAGTTTTTTTGTCATTGTGGCACAAACCGGGGTCATCTGGGAAGAGGGAACCTCAGCTGAGAAAATGCCTCCCTCAGATTGGCCGGTAAGCAAGTCTGTGGGGGGCATTGTCTTGATTAATGATTGATGTGGGAGGGTCATCCCACTGTGGAGGCTGAGCAGGTGGGCTGGAGCGCTGTAAAAATAAAAATCAGGCTGAGCAAGTCAGTAAGCAACATGCTCCCACCTCAGTGCCGGCCTCACCTGAGTGAGGTGTCACCTGGGTGCTAACGATAAAAGACACCCCTTCCCCACAAGCTGATTATGGTGTTGATCACAGCAGCTGTTAAAGATAACTGGAACGAACCACAGTTCTAACTCTAAAGCTATCCCCAGTCTGCTTTTTGGCCCAGTGTCACATCTGCTAGGAAACGCGCTGAATACCCCTGGGCTAGGAAGCGCCTAGCGGTTTGGGTTTGGCTGATGTAGAGAAATCTCAGATCATCACCAGCCTCACACCCAGGGGGCTAGCGGGAGAAGGGAGGTTATTGTGTGGGTCCTCGGTGCCCCTGACTCCTGAGTGTCTGGTTTTCAGGAACTCTGCCCAGCTGTGTAGAGTAGAGGGTCAGGCCCGCAGCAGGGACACACCGGGAGGTGGCTCCGGTGCCCTGCCTGGTCCTGGAGACAGAGCTGCATGTGGCTTTTAAAAACAACCAAGGCAAACGCCGCCCTGGAGCCCCCCTCCATTCTTTTAGCTTCCTTTCCCTAAGGAGGTGCTCACATGAGCCCCGGGTGGGCGGGGAAGCAACTCATCCCTGTGACATTATCCATCTCCTCCTCCTCCTCCTCCTCCTCCTCCAGCGGTACTATCTGATGACAGAGTGTGGGCCACTGCGTTAGCAGCTGTTTCATAAACAAGCTGCCTTTGGCCTGGTGGAGAGAAATGGACCCTAAAAGACGATTTGTGGTTCGCAGCACTCAAGGGCTTTAATACCCTTTTTCTGTCCTCTCCTGGTGTTTAGTGATGGGGAGTCGCCTGCAGGGGGCGCCTGTTGCGCCGAGTGGCCCTGAGACGGATGAAGGTGTCAGCGGGTCCACATTGGGAGCGGCTCAGGGAAAGAAGAGCCAAGGGAAGGCGAAGGAGCTTTTTCTTGGTTCAGTGACGTTTCCTTGTGAGGCAGGAGCCCGACCCACTGGAGGAGCCCAGGCCTGGCTCGTTGCTTAGCAATGTAACTCGATGTTGCTAAAATCCATCCAGGTGAAAATTTGCAATCAAAGGCAGGTGGTACAAAGAAAAGGGATTCTGCTGAGTATCGTTGTTGAAATGGTTCGTGGCTAAGTGGAGGGGAACGCAGTCTCGCTCCCAAAACGCAGAAGGGTACCAAACATTCCCCCGGGAAAAGACTCTGTTGGGACGTTTACGTTTGGTCCAAGTCTGTTCCTAATTTATTGTGTAGGTAGGTATTCGAGATAGTCAAGGTGGTTAGGATGGGTTTCCCATGAGTGTATTCTCTGTAGAGACTTAAGAACTCACGCTGTGAATCACATAGGCGCCACCCCAGAATTCCCTTCGTCTGAAACTCCTTGCACGCACATCTGCAGTGTGTCGAAAGTGTCTCCCTTGGCTGTTTCACCATTTCAATCGTTGCTGCTCTCCCCTACCCCAAAGGAAGGGGGGAAGGCAGTCGTGATGAAATGTTGGGGGTTCTAGATGAGAGAGAGGGTGAACAAGTAGAGACTTACTACCTGAAATCACATCCCAGGGGGTCTCACAAGAGCAAACCTAAGAAATGAATAAGTTTTGACATCCTAGCTCTCAAAAAAGAATTAAAAACAAAACAAAACAAAACAAAACAAAACAAAACAAACTTTGCAATCTATTTTCTGAGCCTTCCCAGGGGAATTAAACTGGGCAATGAGACTGAAATCTTATTAAAATTAGAACAGTCAATAATAACCTATTTGCACTCTATCGACAGCTAGATAAATGTGGCAAGGAGTGAGAAATCTGTAACTGAGTAAAATAGCTCATAGGTGGCTGGGGTCCACCCCCCCCCCTTTTTGGATACCATGCTTCCAGCTTCTGCACGTACCGCGTGTGTCAGGAACCGGTTCATCACATTAACTCTGTACGTGCCTCGCCTGTTTCAAAGGGCGGGCCCCGTCAGTTTGGGTGATGCGCTTCTTTAGAAGGCCAGCAGAGGGAGCTCAAGTTTGCTGCCTGAAGAAGCCAAGGTACATTGAAGTACACAAGGTGGACTGCAGGGTTTCTTGGGGGTCTGGTGGCTGGAAAGGACCTTGAGACGGGAGTGGGGGCGGGGGTAAGGGAGTGGGGGATGGGGGTGGACACGGGGACGGGACACGGGACTGGGAACCGGAGGTTCGCTGGTAGGAACTGAAGACTGGCAGGCCCAGCGCTCACTACTGGATTCCAAATTCTTGATTTTGTTTTTAGGTGTAGTTTGCTATTGCTTAGTAAATAACTAAGTGCTCAGCTCACCCTCTCAATTTGTCCTACTCCCTCGGGGTTCTTAAGCAATGGCCAGTTACAACCCACGGAATCATGAATGAACAGAGGAATATGGGTGTGGGCGTGTACATCCATAGAGGAGGGTTGTGAGTGAATTAAGCCCCTATTAATCACGTGTTATAAGGTAAAAAAAATTCTGAATAGAGGCAGAGAGAGGGTCAGTGATATAGGCTAGCATACAGGCCTGCCTACCTGAGATCCATACATTGGATCCATGAAATGACAGGAGAGAATGCAGAGAGTTGGCCTCTGACCTCCACACCTATGCCCTGACGTATGTGCATACACACACACACACTCACTCTCTATATATATATGGATTCTGGGGCTGGTGAGGTCACTCTTCAGGCGAAGGTATTGCCACCAAGTCTGACAACTTTAGTTTGGCATTCTGAACCCACAGGGAGAGAACTGATTCTGAAAATTGAAAGTTGTCTCTGACCTACACACACACACCATGGCAACTGAACCCCCAATAAACACACACACACACACACACACACACACACATCTATATGAGTAATAAAGTAAAAAGAATTCAAAGTAGGTAGCTTTTATTTTGAAATATATGCTAATTGCTTGCATCTTGTTTACCATGAGTCACTGTATTAATTATATACTACCGTTACAAAATAACCCTTGTTTTAAGACAACACGCATCATCTCGAAGTTTTGTAGGTCACGATCCAGGGTGGTGTCAGCCAGTAGTGTCAGCTCGGGTTTCCCTTTCAGGAGGGTCCAGGGAAGCGCAGCGGCTTCTGCAATCATCAGACTGTCTGGGCTGGAGCAGCCGCTTCCAGGAAAATCTCAGCTCTTGGGAAGCTGAAGCAGGATTGCGGAGTTTGAGGTCAGCCTGAGCTACAGGGTGAATTCTAAAGAACGCAGAACAAAACAGAAAGAGAAAAGAGAAAAAAACATCCCAGAGACGTAGTTCCTAGGAGTGCAATTACTCATACGGTTAGCAAGCAATCTCTTGAGATGGGAGGGGCATGGCCTATCTTTTTTTAAATTATTTTATTTTATGTGTGTTTTGCCTGCATATATGTTGTATACCACGTGCATGCCTGGTGGCCTTGGAGGTCAGAAGGAGGCATCAGATACCCTAGAACTGGAGTTACAGATGGTTGTGAGTCACCATGTGGGTGCTGGGAATTAAACCTGGGTCCTCTGCAAGAATAGCAAGTGATCTTTACAGTCCTGTGATGTCCTGTCTTTAGCAGAACACACATCATCATCATCATCATCATCATCATCATCATCATCATCATCATCATCTATCCTTCACAATCATGACAGCAATGTGTTAAGGAGAACAACTCACCTACATCTGCTTGGGAACGTTTCTCTTCTTTCCGCCTGCTGATTCTTCTAGCACACAGTGAGTTATATTGCACAATAAAAATCGATAGATGTCAGCTGCCGAGTCACTTGTCTGTGTAATGAAGAACCCAGGCTTTTCCTTGCATGACCTGACACTGGCCACTCTGAAGGGTAGCTGGGGTAATGCTTAGATTATTTTTTTTTCCTCGGGGGACCAAGGCAAAGGGTTTAAGCCATCCTAGAACTGGAGGCCGGCTAAGAACTCGGAGTTCTAGCCTGAGTGAATCTGGATGATATTAAAAAGCAAAGGGAAGGGCTCTGACGGTCACTCAGCGAAGAGCCTTAACTTTGGTCCACAGCTGAGGCATTGCTTACGCGTTAAAGAGCCATTGATCCCAGCACAATAAAAACTCTGCGGCCATTCCAAGAGAGAGAGGAGGTGGCTTCAGGGAATGACCTTCAGTGGAAAGTGCCCACAAGCCCAATGCTCTGTGTCAAGAAAGTCAAGCTCCGGGAGCATATACTGAAAGGGGAACCTCACAGAGATTAGCAGGGGCCCTGCCCAAACATGATGTACAAATTCATAACTACTTATACAAAAAGAGTCTGTCAAACTTAACATCATGGAGGGATCTGGTTGTTTTTGAGGATGAAGAATAAGAATAGCTCAATATGCCGGGTAGTGGTGGCGCACACCTTTAATCCTAGCACTCGGGAGGCAGAGGCAGGCGGATCTTTGTGAGTTCGAGGCCAGCCTGGTCTACAGAGCAAGTTCCATGACAGGCACCAAAGCTACACAGAGAAACCCTGTCTCAAAAAAACAAAACAAAAAACAAAACAAACAAACAAACAAACAAACAAACAAAAAGGACTAAAATAGATACACACCACCTCCCTCTTCCTTTGAGACAGAGTCCCACGTAACCTGGCCTGACCTTGAACCCTCTAATACCGAGGATGCCTGGGCTGATCCTCCACCCACCACATCCCAAGTGCTAGGATTACAGGCATGGACCGCCATGTTTTATGTAGTCCTTGAGATCAAATGCAGGACTTCTTTCATGTTAGGCAAGCACTCTGCCGAATGAGCCACATCCTAGACTTGCTATTTAGCCCAGGCTGCACTTTATTCCTTCTGACTCAGCTTTCTGAGATGCTGAGATTACAGACTTGTTTTTTCAAACCATTTTCTATGGTATTTTAATGTATCACATCATTGTACATTGCTTATATTTGCCCACTGCTACCTTCCCCACCACTAATTCTCTCCTCTCCGTGGTCTCTTCACCCGAAACTACCCCATCTACTTTCAAGATATACACCCCCCCTCTTTTAGACATGGTCTCGATACATAGTCCTGGCTACCCTGGAACTCACAATGTTGACCAGACTGACCACGAACTCACAGAGGTCCACCTGCCTCTGCCTGCTTCCCTAAATTCTGGGATTTAGAGGTTCGAGCCACCACACCCCCAAAGATACACATGCTTTTTTGTTTGTTTGTTTGTTTTGTTTTGTTTTGTTTTGTTTGAAACAGGGTTTCTCTGTGTAGCTTTGGAGCTTGTCCTGGAACTCGCTTTGTAGACCAGGCTGGTCTCGAACTCACAGAGATCCACCTGCCTCTGTCTCCCAAGTGGATACACATGCTTTAAAAAATATCTTTAATATTTATTTTTGTTATGAGTGTCTTGCCTGTATGCACCACATGCATGCCTGGTGCCCTGGAACGTTAGATTTCCTGCAACTCCAGTTACAGGTGGTGAGATGCCTTGTGTTGGGAACTGAACCCAGGTCCTCTGCAAGAACAGCCAGTGCTCTTAACCACTGAGCCATCTCTCCAGCCCCAATGCATTCTATTTTTAAAAAAGAATTGTAAGTGATGATATTGTGTTCCCCAAAATATTGTGCACCCTAATAAACTTATCTGGGGTCAGAGATACTAGATACAGAGGCCAGAAAATGGTGGCACACACACCTTTAATCCTATCACTTGGGAGGCAGAGATCCATTCGGATCTGAGTTCAAAGCCACACGGAAACAGCCAGCCATGGTGACTCACGCCTTTAATCCCAGGAAGTGATGGCAGAAAGCAGAAAGGTATATAAGGCGTGAAAACCAGGAACTAGGCTGGTTAAGCTTTTAGGCTTTTAGCAGCAGTTCATCTGAGATTCATTCTGGATGAGGACTCAGAGGCTTCCAGTCAGAGGAAACAGGATCAGCTGAGGAACTGGTGAGGTGAGGTTAGCTGTGGCTTGTTCTGCTTCTCTGATCTTCCAGCATTCACCCCAATACCTGGCTCCAGGTTTGTTTTTATTAATAAGACCTTTTAAGATTCATGCTACATCTGGCATCCAATGTTCTTGGTACGAATTTGAGGAATTTGAGAAAAAGCTACTTGCCTGTGGCCTTGTGGGCCCCAGCTCAGGCCCAAGCTACACTCAGCTGGTTGTGGTGGTTTAAGCCTGTAGGATTTGCTGAAGGAGGCAGAGGCAGGAGACCCAGATGAAGCTGCCGTGGGTTAGGCAGACACAACTTCAGGATGTTCTTAGAAAGGTAGCCCCCAGCCTACCCTACAACTTGCTCAACTGCATCATGCTATTATTTTACCACCCAAGCTCAAGGTCAGTATGCATGTTTTAGCTCTCATGCTAGGCTTGCTATTCAACCCAATTTAAATTAAACTGGCAAGTTAGTCTTCATGAGCTATGGCATTAACCACCCTCTTCCAAGCCCAAAAGTAGATCCTGTGTAGGTGTAGCCTTTACTTAAAAAAAAAAAAATTAACAGAGCTGTGCAGTCATTTCAGCTAAGGATTGAAGGCAGCAAACAGTTGTTTTCAAAATAAGGTTTATTCATCTTTAAAAAGAACACGTTATGGAATCACATGTGAAACTCCTTCCTGGTGTATGACTAACTGACTGACGGAGCGATGTCTAGGAAGCCCTGGAACTCATGTTGCAGTTCTCTCCTGAAAGGTGAGGATGTTAGGAGGGGCTTTGGAAGATGACGTCATGGGGCTGCAGCCCTCAGAATCAGGATTAGTGCCCTTCATGAACTGGACTCCAGCCAACTTTCTTGCCTTCTTTCCACTAAGTGATGACAAGGGTTCAGGCTGCACACCAGAAGACCCTCGCCAGAACCTATGACAGGGGAGCCCTGGTCATGGACTTCAGGCCTCCGTGTTAAATTACATCCATTTACTTATGCATTTATTTGTGTGTGTGTGTGGGTGGCTGCAGGTCACGGCACATGCGGGCAGGTTGGACCACAAACTTTCGGGAGTTGGTCCTCTCCTTCTACTTTGGGGGCCCTGAGAGAGAACTAAAGTTCTCAGGCTTGGTGGTAAATGCCTTTACCTGACAAGCTATGCTACAAGCCCAGATTTCTGTTGCTTACTGGCCACTCATTTTATGGTGGTTTGTCATAAAGGCTGAGTGGACCAGAATATCAATTGTTGCAGGAAAAAAAGTCTCGAGTTCCTTATAGGTCTCACCGGGTCAGGGGCCTCTCGTTGTTTGCTATAGACACCAAGGTGCACATTTGGTAAGGACTCGGCATCAAACACACGCTTCTGTTTTTGAAAACAATTACATTTTATGTGTGTGTATGCTCATACCTGAGCCATGGCACCTGATGGAGGTCACAGAGCCACCTGTGGGAGTTGGTACTTTCCCTCCACCATGTGGGTCCTGAGGTTCAAACTCAGGTCATCAGGCTCCCAGCTTTACTAACCACTGAGCCATCTCACGGGCCCCACCCTTCTACCTTTTGACCGGATGTATCCCAGTGTGCTTCGGGCCTGGCAGGGACTGAAGTGCTTTCTCAGGAGTGAGAAGAGACCTTCTGTCATCTCCCAGTGCTCTTGTCTGGGAAACATCAGACCTTGGAGGTTGAACAGACTGGAGTAGATGCAGTCGGAGAAGGAACCATGAGATCTGTAACCCGACCAACCTGGGGAAACACTCCATTTTTTTCCTCCATGGGAAATCACCTCCAGGACCACTACAATCCGGGAATGTGACAGGCAAGAGGTGGGAACTCCAGGGCTGGCTAGTAGAGGCTGACAGGATGTGTTTGGTGGCATTGGGTGTGGAGCAGGGAGGACCCAATCACAGAGGCACCTAACTCACAGGGCTCTAGACGAGTCACCGGGGGCTTCAAGCCTTTTAAGTATTTGTTTCATCCCAAATTAGGTCTGTTTGATAATCACTACACACACACACACACACACACACACACACACACACACACACACACACACCTGTTAATGGATTTTCAACCATTTCCCGTGAAGTGGCTAAAAGTGAACTGTGAACTGCAGGCTACCCAGCTCAGAAAGCAGATTCCACACTGAACATTGACTGGCCGTTCGTCCACTCTGTGGCAGGCACTGAGCCAAGCTGCTCTCATATCCCTCTCTCCCCTTCTGGTACTGTTGGGAAGAGGCCCAACTCAATGGTTTGATGTTAGCAGATGTGAAAGCGCTTCACACTCTGCAGAAACTGTACTCTGAGTTTTGAATTTGGATCTGTTCCCTGGGCAGTGACATGCGATTTGATATGGTATGGCAGCATTCAGGCAGCTACCCCAGCACAAGGTAAACACCACATTCCATAGTGAACAGTGTTGCTAGGCTGGGCTGAACTAAAGCAATTTGCAAATTGTGACAGCCTCATCAGGATGCAACTTTATGGTGTAGCCCAAGAACACTTGTCTCCTTTCTTTTTTGGCCTGTTTTGGTTTTTCAACACAGGGTTTCTCTGTGTAGCCCTGGCTGTCCTGGAACTTGCTCTGTAGACGAGGCTGGCCTTGACCTCAGAGATCCACCTGCCTCTGCCTCTCTAGTGCTAGACTAAGGGTGTGTCCTTTTATCTGTGGTTCCAGGAGAGAATAGAGAGGCTTATGTCAAGGTTCGCACTGTCAGTGTGGGTTCCCTTTTGAGTTTCCCAGGGTAGGGGGTGCAGGGATGTGTAGCAGTTGGGGTGTCATTGAGTTTCTTCAGGAAAGCCTTGAAGTTTCCTATGAGCTGTCCATGACCAGGAAAACCTCCACTAAATGACACTTAGTTGTCTAGTTGACAGTGGATGACAAACTCGGTTGTTTTGAGTCTTGGCTGGTCATTAGCAGTGATGTGGAACCTTGTGAGAATAAGGAGGTGGGGGCCTCCTCCTGAGGAGGTGGGGGCTCCTCCGGAAGGATGTGTCTCAGTAGGGGCTAGTAGCCTGTATTTGCCCTGATCTCCCACCAGGATTCTGGTGAGCAGGTGTATCAGAGAATCCAGGGACTGAAGGGGGCCATGGTTCCAGGTGTATGAGGCCTGTGCTCCACTAAAAAGACACGTGTGAATGCTTTTCCTGCTCCCATGTCTGCAGAAAGGCTGTCACATTTCTGACCTGCTGACAACATTTTATTAGTGCACACTAGCAATATGTGAGTTCAAGGGCCACCTGCCAGAAATGGGGTGAGGAACTTCTAAATTGTAGCTAACAACTGTGTCACTGGTGGATAATTGCTGTCCCAACTGCAATTTAAGGCCCTTTGGAGACAAGGTTTCTCTGTGTAGCTCTGGCTGTCCTGGAACTTGCTCTGTAGACCAGGCTGGCCTCGAACTCACAGATTTGCTAGGATTAAAGGTGTGCAAATCCTGGTGCAATTTAGGTTTTTTTCTGGTTGTGTTTAGAGGCAGTCTATGTAGCTCAGGCTAGCCCCAGTCATGCAATTCTCTTGCCCTCACCCTCCTGATTGCTGGGACTACAGGCCTACACCACCATGCTCGGCTTCTTTCCTCATTACGCACGCAAAGCAGTTAAGTCCTTCATACAGCTTACCTCGTAAGTTACTGTTGTAGACTGCGTATTCTGTTCTCTGCACAAAGGAGTCACAGGGATTCTAGAACTGGAATGGTCATTTTCTTCAAAAGTCCACCATTATTGGCTAGTCATCCCTCACTCTTCTCTTTAGTTGTGCAGCTCAGACCTCAGAACCACTGACCTAGGAACAAGGGGCAACTGGTAGGGCTGAAAGCCATGTAAAGCTGGAGTGTGTGATTAGAATATGTAAAGGTTTGATTTAAGCATTAAGAAAAAAACCAGAAAAAAAAAAAAAAAAAAAAAAAAAAAAAGGAAAGTTGGAGCTGGAGAGATGGCCCAGTGGTTAGGAACACTTGGTGCTCTTCTAGAGGACCTGAGTTCAATTCCCATTGCTTACAACCATCTGTTAACTCCAGGTGCTGACACCATGTTCTGGCCCGTATGGGTACTGACTGTACACAAGTGGTACATATACATACACGCTGGCAAAATCCCCATATACAAAATAAAATATTACCAAAACAAATTGGAACCCTGAGCATTCATCTCTGCCAGAACACAAGTCGTGCGTTGTCAAGGAGGCCAATCTGCAGAGAGCAGGATGGAGCAGAGTATCTACAGAAACAGAAACAGCAAAGACCATGTGGCCTGAGAGGGTGGCCGGTCCCCAGGACTGCAAACTTTTTTTTCTTTAAGGTGAGACAGGGTCTCACTATGTAGCTCTGGCTGTCCTGTAACTCAAAGAGATCCACACTTCTCTGCTTACTGAGCACTGGGATTCAAGGCACAGACCACCACACCCAGCTTCTGTGATGACTATTTTTTAAGAGGGGACAAGTGATGCTACAAAGCCACGTGGGAGACGGTCATTCCCTAGAACTCACGTGCCTGTCCAGTGCCAGCCTTCTGATCTCAGTGAGATGCAGATACGGGGACTCCCCCCAGGTGTTGGAGCAGGCCTCTGCCGTGTCTTTGGCTGAGAGCATACAGCAAAGCCTTCTCTAGACCAGGTTCGAGGCAGTCGTAAGCGTAGGCCATCAGAAGTTAACTTCATTAACTCCCCCCGTGGTGGTGTGAGTAGGAATGCACCCACAGGCTCACAGATTTGAATTCTTGGTCCCCTGGGAGTGGAACTGGGAGAAGGATTTGGAGATGTGGCCTTGTTGGAGGAAGTTTGTCACTGGGAGGAGCTTTGAGATTTCCAAAGCCCCTGCCAGGCCCAGTTCCCTCTCGCTCGGCAGCCAGATCAGGACGTAGCTCTCAGCACGAGTGCTGCCATGCTTCGGCCATGATAATCAACCAAACCTCTCAAACCGTAAGCCAGACCCCAACTCAAAGCTCTCTTGATAAGAGTTGCCTTGGTCATGGTGTCTCTTCCCAGCGATACAACAGTGACTGAGACACTGTCATAGCACAAAGGTAACCCTTTAGCAGCCTCCACCCAACCACTCCCTCAAACCAGAGCCTCTCTATCTTCTGTGACCGGCAACAGTGACACGGGAAACATCTGGTACAGATGGATGTGTGTGAACTCGTGAAACATTCGCTGTAATGTCCTGGCTTCTTTTCTCCTGTACATGATACCCTAACCTGGATCAACACACGCACTTTCCCTCAGGAGGAGTCAACCAAAAGCAACTGAAAAGAGCCGTTTATTATTTATTATTAAACTATTATTTAATGTGGTCCTGCGGGCAGGAAATGTAGACCAGTGGTAGAATGCACATTTAGCATGTGTGAACCCTAGGTTCAATTCCAAATACTCCCAACTGTAGCCCTGGAGGCTGAGGCAGGAGCTGGACATGAGCCCGGGAATTTAGGGCTACCTAGGCAGTACAGCCATACTTTGTCTCAAAGAGCAAACAAAACTCGAGTGGTCTTCTTGGCTGTCCCTGCCCAGTCGACTCCCTGGCAGCCATTTGCAACACAAGCATGTGCAACTTGAACTCACACGTGGGAGTGTTTCATTTCAACTTATTAAGCTTGCAAGCCAAGGCTTGCTCGGCTTTCCGACGGATCTGCGTAGGTGGTTAACAGAATGTGATCTCAGAGCTGGCTGTTTGACGCTGTTAAGGTCCCACCTGCCAACGCTGTCTGAGAGTACTGAAGCTTTCCTTCTGAACAGGATAGAAAGCCTGGTGAGTAATGCCTCCCTCTCTCCCTCCACAGCTACACTGTAACAGGAAAGACCTCTGGTAGCCACTCTGGGGCCTTTCTGCACAAGAACAGCCACCTGTCTCTCCTTCAATGGAGACAACTTGGCTCGCAAAACCAACTTCGTGCAGCATGGATGAATTGGTCCCACCCTCCTAGGTTCCACAGGCCAGAAACATGAGTGGGGACGGTGTGGGCTGGCAAAAAGCTTTGACGAGTTCAAGCCTTAGCCTTTCAGCTCCGTGACTAAGACATTGCTGCCCATGCCAGCCCTACCCCCACCCTTTTTGAGATTGGATCTTATTATGCAGATCTGGCTAGCCTGAAGCTTGCTATATAGACCAGGCTGGCCTCCAAATCAGAGATCCACTGCTTCTGCATCCTGAGTGCTGTGATTAAAGGCATACATCACCATGCCTGGCAAGACATTGTTTTACTGTGCATTGCTTAGAAACAGCCCTTTTTCATCAACCCACACTCCAGTGTCTCAGTGTTCATCTCTTCCTTCAGGCGTGGTTTTCCCTTTGGAAAGGGTGGAATTTATCAATACTAACCCTAGGAAAACATACCAAGGCAACAGGCAAACCAGTTCAGAGTGGTAACACGGTAGAGACTCCATTTGTAGGGACCTGGCTGGTGTGAGCTTGGGACATATGTGTGAAACCTACTAAATGTCTGGTGAGAACCATGTCTATTCTCGTCACCTCCACTTAGTCCTCTGGAGGGTGTTCTTGTTCCATGGCAGGATTTGAGATATCTTCTAACTGTAAAGCCCAGGCTGGGGGAGATGGAACCCCATGTATTTCTTGGAATACTCTTTAGCTAATTAACTCTGTTAGAGGCACTTTCCCTTTGAGCTTGGAGACACATGCACATACCACA